GGCAAGATTCTGTCCTATATTCATAGATTAGAAAATTAAAATTTAAGTTCCAGTTCGTAAGTATAATTTTCAAAAGGCTTCAGTTGACAGAGAATAGTCCTAAGTAGTATGGTACTATGTTTGGATGTATAAAATGCTATCATTTTTTAACATTGTATATCCCTTTCTTAGAAAGATGGCAACATTTTATACACATTACTTTTAAAAAAATTGAAGAATATGTACAGATACTTGTAAACAAATATATACTTTAAAGAATATTTTAATAACTGGTGAATGTCCATATCAATATGTAGAGGCAACCTAATTCTTTATTATACGTGCATAGCATGCCATTGTATAGAAAGTCATGCTTCGTTTAACCTTTCCCTTAATGACGGACATTTGTTTCTCACCTTGGTAATTACAAGCAATGCAGCAATAAGTAATATAGAAGCAGAATTTCTAGGTGAAAGATTTTGTGCATCTGAAATTCAGATAGAAATTTCCAGTCTTCTGTTTCCACTACAAATATATCCCTCTTCATTGCAAACAGGTTGGAGTAAATCCCTACGCATTTCCCCTTGGCCAAATTTCTGAAATATGTATGCATGTACAGAGAGATGGGTGCCATTTGCAAAGCTGGGTGAACCCTAGTTTCCAAGCCATTCCTGTCAGGACTGAGGCAGAATTTGATTTTAAACCATGTTTGCCTGAGACAGGACAATATGATTTTGCCACCTTTGACTTCACAAATGCTTGACCTTACATTCCAGTCTTATAACCGGAGATTTGGTTCTAGCAGCTGGAGAACCAGGATCAAATTCTCCTGTTTAAATACTGTTCCAGGCCTCAAGCCTGAGGTTGAGCCTCAGCTCCCCATCCCTAGTTACCGTCTGGTTACCCTGACTAGTATCTGAGCTCTTCCAGTCAATGGCTTGGGTCATATTTTTGGGAGAGTGCGTGTTGAGTTATCTTGACTTTGGACATTGAAAGGATGTAAGTAACATTTCTCAGACCACTAGACTGCTTTTTAGTTCAAAAACTTTAATTAGAAAACTGAAGATGTAAATCAACTTAATGTTATTTTAAGGAGCTTAGTTAAAAACAGGTTGACAGACGGGATATTTTATTCAAAATGTGATCCTAAGACTTTGTGTGCTTTCCCAGGAAAGCTGTTGATCTTGGCTGCAAGAAATTTCAAGTCCTGAAAGAGAAATAATACTTTTTGACAAAGACTATTTATATAGTTTTATACAAGGATGATCATATTTTCTTTCAGAATGTATTTCTTAAAAATGCACAATAGTCTTGCTTCATTAAAAATATGGCATTTTACATTGAATAATAGTGAATTTTCCATTAGCACCAGTGATGCTGAAATAGCTATTTTCATATATTTACAAAACTTAAGCTTAATTTTGAGGAGAAGGAAACAGTTTTGTACTATCGAGATAGCATTGTTCTGAAATTTTCTCAGATAAAGGGACATCAGTATTTTTGATAATAACATCAAATAGAGTATGTTCTGAAATTTTCTCAGATAAAGGGACATCAGTATTTTTGATAATAACATCAAATAGAGTAGTAATAAAATTCAGTAACTAATGATGAACTTTGGGTTTAAAGTCATTATTATAAAGTAAATTATATTATAAACCAGTAGAAATCGAGTCTTAAAGAAAAATTTATGAAGAAATCTTAATCAAGAAACCTCTACCACTTAAAATATTTTGGGTTTTTTTTGCTGGAATGCTTAGAGCCAGTTTGCAGGACACTGATATTTCAAAAGAGGAGAAATTCATCTGAGGAAAAACATAAATACCTATTCTTGGCTCTAATAAGCTTTTATCAGAAAGCAGGTTAATAATCAGTGCTGCAGAATTGAGGATACAACTTTGAACTTGGTGGCTCTGCTCTGTCTTCCATTCTGTTAAATATTTATCAGTATAGTTTTATTATTGGCCATAAAATATCACTTTGGTTAGTACTTTCCTTGAAGGCTTGGAAATAAAACATTGCATTTATTAAATTCCTTAGGGACCATGACTTTCAGGAAACCTCTTTAACCCTTATGGATTTAGGAGCAGACACTTGGCATCTTAAACGTTTTTAAACCAAAATTACAATATCATGAAAAAAACCAACAACAATGAAATAGAAGAGTGACAGATTTGGAAAATCAATTTGTTCCACTAATACATTAATATTAAGAGGGCAGTGTCTGCTTTTAAAGCTTTTCCAAATTATTCACTGTAGTCTTAAAAATCAGTACAGAACACCAGGCTGTATGAATAAAAAAATAACACTACAAAAATATAAATTTAGAATTTCAAGGAAAATTAAAACAAAACCAGCCAGGTTAATTTATTGATTTATATTTTAATTTTTCTGCATGGCAATTATTAAAAATATTAAGATCTAAATAAATGCTTCAAGCTACTCTCATTTCTGTCTTGAATTATCTCAAGAGCTTCCTTACAGTGTTCCTATTTTTATTCTCTCTTTTGCCTTTTCCTTTTCAGGCTGGCCTCCACATAGCAGACAGAGGAATCCAGCTAACTCCAGGTCAGACCTTTTAGATCTTCCAAAAACCTTCAATTCTTTCCCATATCACTTAGGTTAAGAGCCAGAGTCTCTACAAGGCCCTACAAAACTCTTCCTCTTAGCTCTCTGGATCCTTTTACTTGGCCACTGACCTCTTTGAAGTTCTTCAGACAAGGCAGGCATGCTCCTGCCTCAGGGCCTTTGCACCTGCTTTCCACCTATGCTTCCCAGGGCATCCTCCAGGCTCACTCCTCTAATCCTTCAGATCAGTAAGGATTTCCCATCTAAAAGTGAATCCCTACTTTCTTTTCTTTTTTTTTTGCTACTATCACCATCCAATGTACTGTATATTTTATTAAGTCATCCTGTTTATTGTCTGTTTCCCCTTCAAGAATTTAAGCTCTGTGAGGGCAGCAGGGGCTTCTGTCTGTTTTGTTCACTATCGTATTCCTAGTACTCAGAATGGAAGCCTGGTACATGGAAGGTGCTTGTAAAAATTTACTGAATTCATATATGAATGAATATTAAGTGCCTTTGCCTTGACACAGGTGTCAATGCCCAGAGACCACCAGGAACACACCTGCAGTCAAATGACTTGGGTTTATCATTTGCAGTGAGGAGGGGGAGCATGCACGTGGGGAATCATGGGGTGTCTCAGTAAGAGGGTGTTGGAGAAAACCCATTATAGTCTTTCGGTTTTGGTTGGGTGACTTGGGGGAGGATCTAAGAATGGGGATTTGCTCTAGATTGGATGTTGTCAGAAAGCAGAGGAATTTTTATGACAGGATAAAGAATAGCAGTCATTTATTCAGAGAGAGAAATGAATGGTATTTTGTGGGTTATGCAGTGACCTTGTTTTTTTCTGTGCTTAGACAGAACTAAAAAGTGGCCTTTCTCTGTCTCATTTTATTGTGGTCTGAGAGTAAACTTGTGTGAGGTTGGTATTCTGTGAGATCGTCTCTATGTAACAGGAGAATTATACGGTCTAGCTGTGAGTACCGCCAGCTTCTGAATGCTGGGAGTTACTCTCTTTTTAAAATTTTTTTGATTTACCACAAGCAACTAAGCTTCTTTGGGGGAGGACTGAGAGGGGACATACAAATAAGTAGGGGATAGAGGCTTCTTCGCAGACTCTGTATCTGTTCATGGCAGGTCGGACTCGCCTACAGGGACACCTCCTCTCTTCACTATCTTTTTCACTATCAGGAAGAGGAAGAGCTGAGGTTCTTGAGCCAACCTGAGACAGGCTCCATCTTTCTGCTGCTTTTGTTACATTCCCCTCGCGGTGGAGCAAGACATTGGAACTGCGAAGTCAAGGTCAATGTAGTAGCGACTAAACCTTCCTCACTGTGGCTCTTCCTTCATCTAGGGGAGGGGCCTGAGGAAAAAGCTACCCTCCCTTTACCCTGCGGCTTTCACGCATGTGTCATTTCCCTGCAAATCATTTGTCCAGGGGCCTTCAAAATGTCTTCACAGAAGTTTCCCTGTTGAAGGAAGGGAACTGGTCCTTCATCTGTCTTCCCAGAACAGACCTGCCTCCTAAGAAGTGTAAACTGGTTGATAAAATTTAAGGGTCAAGTCCAGGTTGAATTCCTCACTCATTCCCACTCCCAGTGTCTTGTCAACTCTTCCTAAAATTCTACCAATTAGAAATCTGTTTAAAGGAGCAAACCTTCCTGGGAGAAAGGACAGGGAGGCTGTTATGAGTTGTGACTCTTGGTTAAGTGAGGACTTTTGCACAGGTTGCTAGGCTACCACAACCAGTGGAGATTCAGGTGGAGCTCAGCACTGGGGAGTTTGATGGCACAGGTGTGGTCAGGGAAAGGGCTGTAGAGAAATTCTGAAGTGAGGGCACTTTTTATTTTTTTTAAATTTATTTTTATTTTTTAATTAGATGACTGGTAAGGGGATCTTAACTTTTGACTTGGTGTTGTCAGCACCAGGCTCACCCAGTGAGCGAACCAGCCATCCCTATATAGAGATCCGAACCTGTGGCCTTGGTGTTATCAGCACCGCACTCTCCCAAGTGAGCCATGGCTGGCTCTGTGAGGGCACTTTAGGAAGGGCAGGCTTGGGGTTTTCCTGGTGAAGGAAGGAGGGCAGGAGAAGCAGACAGCTAGAGATTTGCTGGTGGGGACAGGGGACTGATGAAACAGTCTGGGAGGTTCCAAGTAAAGTGATTGCCTCCCCGAAAGCCATGTTTAATTAGGAGAGTGACAGGGGGAGCTCCAGAATTATCACTAACAGGAAATTAAATCTCTCCACAGGTCATCCAGTGTGCGTTAAAGCAGAAGATGGCATAAAATTTCTACCTTATCATGAAACAATTATCTGAAGGACAAATAAGGTTTTGTGTTATTCAACCAATACATCTCTCATCATGGCTGCACATATTTTTTATTTTGAAGTCTATCTCTTCTCTTAAACCTGCCAGACTTCCAATTCATCAAAGGAAACCTTTAATAGCCTCTTGGAATGCTCCCACAGATCAGTGTTTGATAAAATATAATTTAAGACTAAATTTGAAAATGTTTCAGGTGATTGGAAGCCCATTGGCCGAGGCCAGGGGACAAAATGTCACCATATTTTATGTCAACAGATTGGGATACTATCCCTGGTATACATCACAGGGATTCCCCAATAATGGTGGTCTCCCCCAGAACACAAGTTTGCAAGGACATCTGGAAAAAGCTGACCAAGATATTACTTATTACATCCCTGCTGAAGATTTCAGTGGACTTGCTGTTATAGACTGGGAATACTGGCGACCACAGTGGGCACGGAACTGGAACACAAAAGATGTCTATCGACAGAAGTCAAGAAAGCTAATTTCTGATATGAAAAAGAATGTATCAGCTACTGACATTGAATATTTAGCCAAATCAACTTTTGAAGAAAGCGCCAAAGCTTTCATGAAGGAAACCATTAAATTGGGAATTAAGAGCCGACCCAATGGACTTTGGGGTTATTATTTATATCCTGATTGCCACAATTATAATGTCTATGCCCCAAACTATACTGGGTCATGCCCAGAAGAGGAGGTTCTGAGAAACAATGAGCTCTCCTGGCTCTGGAACAGTAGTGCTGCTTTATATCCTTCTATTGGTGTCAGGAAATCCCTTGCAGATAGTGAACACATTTTGCGCTTCTCTCAATTTCGGGTGCACGAATCCATGAGGATCTCCGTCACGACATCCCACGATGACGCTCTGCCCGTATTTGTCTACACAAGGCTAGGGTACAGAGACGAACCTTTATTTGTTCTTTCTCAGGTAAGGATCTCCTTGCCCTATGGTGGGGGATTTCCTCCCTGTTACTAAAAGACACATTTCTTTGTTAATTATGCTCTGGGAAAAATTAATTCCACTTAGTGGTGTCTTAGGAGCATAGATCTTCCTTGACTAGTCATCCACTTAGACACTTCATTTATGCCAACTGAAGTTTGAGTATCTTATGTATTATTACTGTTTTAAGGAACAAGTAAGACTGGAAAGGGTTAAAGTGACATAGCAAAACTACCTCATTTCCCGCTCCCAACCTTGATTCTTTTCCCTTATGATGGGCCATTTTGGGAAGCTATTGAAATCGTTGGTGGTGAACAGCTCAGAAAATTGAAGAGGATGTTCTAAAATTCAGCAATCTGCTCATACGTGTCGAAATATCATTGAGGACATTCCTGCGTCTGGTCTCACCCTCTCAAATATCAAGAGAAAACAAAAGTGTTTCTTCTTAATGTGTAATGCCAACTTTGATAAAATGTAGAAGAAGGAACAATAATGTAAATATATTGAACTATACACTTAAACCATGACTAAGATAGTATATTTTATGTTACCTGAGTTTCACCACAATTAAACAATTTTTAAAAAATTTAGAATGGCATGAAGTAGCTGCAAATCTGCTACCAGTGGATGAGTCTGTAGATTTAGCTGTCCAGTCATCCTTGTCTCTACGACCATAACTAATAGAAAGTTGTTAAGAGGAGTGAGTTTCTAATTTCAATAGTTAAATCACTAGTAGATGGTTTTGTTACCCTAAGTTAGAACTTACAAATAAAAGTTCTATTCTGTGTGTTTATTCACACTCAAGTCTTGCATGCTCCCAAAGACCTTATACAAACCATGAGGATAACTTTTAAAATAGTTTAAAAAAAAAAAAATCTTTCAGCCAGATTTTCACTCCTGTCTTTTCCCTTCCCGAGTCTAGCCATTTAAATAGGAACTTCTAAAGAAAGAAGTGATACTCTAATCTTTGGATTTGGATAATTATGTGTAAACTCTCTACATTGAGAAGAGTTGAGACTTCTTTGGGCCTTCACATTTGCGATGCAATGGTCTTTAAGATATTACTGGATACCAGAGGGTTAATATCTTTTAATGAAGGCATTTCTTCTTTTTCGACCATTACAAATTTAAATTCAGCAGCACGTGTGAAAATACAAAGATGTTCTGAGCGTTAGACATCCTGAGGAGGAGGCTTAGGAAACACCCAGGTGAGGGCTCTCCCCTGACCAGTAGGCATGTGCGGAGTGTGTATCCAGTGGAGCGTGTCCATCAGAGGGAGAAGTGGCCACATGTATGTAGTGGGGTGAGTGCTATGGCCCTGACACCATTCATAGATGAGGAAGAGACAAAAATCTTTACTGTGACCTGATATTCGTACTACCCAGAAAAATCAGCAATAAATAATTGAATGAAGAATGATAGAAGATCAATACTGTCTGGACGGGTTAATGAAGTTATGTAAATCTTGATAAAATAAGCTTGACTCTGGAATTGAAAGTTAAATACCACCTTCTATAAAACATCTTGTTTTCTATATTTGGCTCAGTCAAGTTCCTTTCTTTAGTGATAATAAATTTACTTTTGGAAGAAATAAACTCTAAGGGACAAAATGTTCATTTGAAAAGATTAGATAAGAAGGCTGGAACATTCTGCACATTCTCTAGACCTGGGGTAAGCTTCCTTCTTCAGTAACTACAGCTTTGGAAATGCTTCTGTTCCCTCTCAGGAAAGAAGAAACAACAGTTTGGTTCTCACCTCATTCTGCACCCCTTTTTTTTTTTTCTGAATGGCAAGCTATTTCCACGTGTTTACACCAGCAGTATATACACCCTTGTACCCTACGTGCCATAAAAATCTACACCCACGTTTTTTCTTCTTCTTCATGAATTTATTTGTTTGTGTATTTATCTATATCATTACACAATGGATTCATTTTTTGTGGATCTTTACTAATTTCTTGTTATCCCCTGCCACCGCTTCCAAATTTTTAAAAACCCCATATTTATTTGTACCAAACTCTAAAAGACTACGAAAGGTTTCCACTTCTGACCTTCCCTAAGACACACACACATACAGTTAAGATTAGAAAAAGGATATATCAGTAAGTAGCAAATCTACTTCACTGCCTGAGTGTCTTAGTGTACAAAATGGGACAGTATTACCTGCTCTACTTACCTAATAGAAGTATTACAAAAATCCAATGAGAGAACACACATGAAAACTAGAAGCACTACGGAAATGTTGGTGGTATGGGGATCAAGTTTTAACAACCATCAAAGCCTTGAACTTTAACATGGGATATCTACGAATGTAATTAATGCAGCAGCCAAAGCTTGGGGAAATATGGAGGCAATAACTCCTCATTTCACAGAGATTGCCTACACCACCTACATGTAAACACAACCTACATATAACCTGATGCTATGCTTTAAAAAAAAATAACAAAAGGCATTTCCTTGGCTGTAGATTTAAAGATATTCATCCCTGGAATTAATTAATGTTCCCTCTTGTAACACACAAAGGGAGTTCATTAGTAAAGCTCCAGCTCCCCACAGTGGGCACCTTACTTACATGCACTCTGGAAAGCATCAGGGACTGAAACCCAAGCGTGGAGAATGAGTCCTCTGGGTGTCCCTACCTTCTACTTCTGAATCCTCGATTCGAGGGATGATGTGTAGGGCAAGGCAGCCCTATTCCACATTGGGTTTGTTCTCACTACATCTGCTTTGTTCCTTTATTTTGCCTTTCATGTGATACCATCCATATTGTTCACAATCTGAAATGGTCCCAATCCATTCCCAGAGGCATCTTATCTGTGTCTTCCCTCACTCGTTGGTGCTGTTCCTTTTCTTATCCCCCAAACATAATTGCTCTGTGATTCTTTTAGCACCCTGCTCTCTGCTAGGTAACAGTGAACTAATTTGGTGAGAAATTTGCATTAACATAGGCTACTGTCTCCTCATTTCCAGTCAACATGAAGATTTCGCTTTTAATCAGTCTCAGTAAACTCTCTCTGATAATGACACTAAAGGACATATTGGGAAGAAATTAACATCAGCATCAGAAGGTTGTTGCGGCTTTCATTGCAACCATCTGTAGCTTCCACACTTACTGAATATGGACCAATAACCTGAAGATACCAAATGTAAACGCTATGTTCCCTTCCTCCTGTGATGACAATGCCTTAACTCAAAGGAAGTTTGCTGGGGATTTCTGCCCCTCTAATCATACCATGTGAATATCACATCACAGCATTCAGGGAAGTTTCAAAGTGAGTAAAAAGAGGAGTTCTGCTCCCTTATGTCTTTGCCAAAAGAGGCAATAGATATGGACCCAGCAGAGTCTGCCATCTGGTTCCTGCCTAGATGGCTCCTTCTCTGTCCCTATTCATCATACCACTGATAATTTTTAAAAGCTGTTCATTTACAGGATCTCATATGAGCCTCACAAAACTTCTTCTCCTTCTTGTCATGTTAGCTCTGACCTGTTCAGCACATACTATGGTCACGGGGAACAGAAATGGATGTGAACTTGAAAGGGAAATTAATTTAAACCCAAATCACTTCCCTTCTTGAAAATTACCAAAAAAATGCCCAGAAAGAAAAAAACAAACAAACAAACGAAACTTTTAAAACTGAAATTGCAAAACCTTTTAATTTGAGTAGTGGATTATAAAAGTGTCAGATAAGGAGAGTTATCTCTCATATATTAACATGAATATAAACTGCCAAGGGTAAAATACATTTTCAAGTTCTTTCATTTTCTACCAAATCACCCAATTACATTTTCTAGCATATAACTGGTAGAAATTCGTCTTTGGAGTGAAAAGAGAATTTATAGTGTCCTAAAGAGTAGAGAAATATAATATAAATTAATAAACTAGGAAACCAACTATACATATTCAGCTCTTAATTTCCCCCTGAAATGGTCTAGGTTCATATTAGTCTTTAAACACCAAAGCAACAATCCTTTTAGATTACAAAACCAAAATTGCCTCTGCGGAAGTCTTGTTTTCATCTATCTTAGCCATATTGGGAAAAATCACAGTGGCTGGAGAAGTTTAAAAAAAAAAAAAGCCCATTAAGTCGGATACTTTGAAATAAAACACAGGTAATTTCAGGGACCAAATATAAAGCCTGAACCATATCAGAGCCTGGAAGCCCTTAACTTTGTTCCTTCGCCTGGCCTTGGAATCAAAATGGCACAAACCCATGAGAGTCACTGCAGTGGCAAAGTTCCTCAGGGGTATGTTTCAGAATGGAACAGGAACCTAAGAGGATTGCCTTTGGAGAAGGAAAACTTTTGGATTCTGTTCTGGTTTATCTACACATGACCTGGTTTGTGAGTATATGTTCCTATTCAACTTTAATCAAAAAGCTTTTGATGATTATTTACATGCTGGTTGTTTTCAAAATAATATACTGCATGGCAAAATGTAAGCTTTTCATTAAAAATATTTGTGTCTTTGCATATGAGTATAGAGTGTGAGTTTAAGCATCGGTTCATTGAACATTTGTGTTACTCTAAGAAATTGGAGAATGGTCTTTATAGAGTGTATGAGCTCAGTCCCAGCCCTATTATACTGAGGTCAGCCTCTAATCCTAGTCCCCAGTGGGTTTTTCTTTACATTCATATTAATAATAAACTCTACACTCTTCAATCTAGCAAGATCTAATTAGTACCATTGGAGAAAGTGCTGCCTTGGGAGCCGCAGGCATTGTGATTTGGGGAGACATGAATTTAACTTCATCTGAGGTAAGTCAATGCCTTGATGGTATATTTAATGTTTTTTTTTTTAAAAGTATTTGCTCTGTTTCCCTATAGAGCTCACTCTAATGAAAGCTCTCATGACCCCCATAATAAACCAGCTTTAGAATAAAAGTCCAAACAGCTGTGTGGTACATAGAAAAGACTCAATAAATATTGTCAGTTTTATGTAATGATAGTAATCATAACATGACATTTGTTAAATATTTACTGTGTGCTAAGAGATTTTTTGTTTTGGGTTTGCTCACTTACTGGCCATGTGAGGTAGTGACTGTCATCTTCATTTATAGATGAGGAAAAAAAGAGAAGAAACCTAACTAGGGTACCAGGTAGTTAGGCTAGTTAGTGGTGGAGCTGGCATTAACCATGGACAGTTTGATGCTGGAGCTCTTGCATTTAGCCACTACCTAAAATGTGTTCTATCCCATTTTAAGAAGTAGAAGCAGCTGGTAAATTTTTAATCTCCATATTAAAGCTATTTTTCCTCTACTGGGAAATCAGCTGAAAATTAATAGCATTTCAAATAAGATTTATATAGCTCTTCAAATTTCTCCCAGATGAGATATTAGGTACTCCAAGAATTCTTCCTAGTTTTCACTAATCCACATGAATCACAATCCCTTCTGTATTTCCAGATGTCATTTGTTTATAGCTCTGTTGTGTAATATTATAACCTTTCTATCCTCAGCACTTTTTGTTAAATTAAATTTTTGCAAGTCCATAATGATCTGATATTATTCTTAGAATTTCACAGACTCCATTTGTTGCCAGCGAGATGATTGTTTATGAAACTATTTATGATTATCTCCACCTATGAGAATTAGGTAGAAATTGAGAGAATCAATTCTTGACATTCCAGGTGTGACATTTCCTCCAGCGCCCATGTGGCTCATGAGAAGAGGTTCATCGCGAAGTTGGGTGCAAAACCCAGGTGGCTTCTCTTTAGAACACGTTATAGAAACCACGCACATGAATTACCTAGTCAGCCTTAAAGGCCATCCTGTGTTTGAATTGTATATAGAAGAGTAGGACCCAGGACAGTTGATATTTGAGCATAATTAACAGAAAAATTCAGAAGGCTACAGGTTGACGTTCACAATAAATTGGTGGAATATGATGATTCAGGTTCTGAACAACCATGAATGGCACAAAATACCAGAAAGTGGCCTGAGGACAGCAGCTTCAGCACGATTTCTAATTTGGGCTTGTTACTCTCCTTTTCACACTTGTTAACTTGGAGCTAGAAGGAGAAAAAAAAGGCAGTGTAAATTGGAGGAAGATAATGTTCATATGCTGACTCTGGGGTCCATTTGCAAGTTCAGTCAGTTAGCCTGACTCTAACACACTCTCCATCTCCTGTTCCTTAGACCTTTCCTCTTTCTGATACGGGACCCATGTGTTATTGTGCTCAGGAGCCGAAGTGTTCAATACCTGCAACCAAGCTATAGATTTCAATCCAGTCCAAAGAGCTGCCTTGTGGGCCTAGAAGCTCTAACCCTGTAAGTACCAGGGAAAACACTAACACCCATTTGTTTCTACGTTTCTAGGTCAACTGTACAAAGGTGAAGCACTTCGTGAGTTCTGATTTAGGGAGCTACATAGTCAACGTGAGCAGAGCCGCTGAGGAGTGCAGCTTTCACCTCTGCAGGAATAATGGGAGGTGCATAAGGAAGACGTGGACAGCTCCTGATTACCTTCATTTGAACCCTGCAAGTTACCACATAGAGGCCTCTGAGGATGGGGAATTTATTGTGAAAGGGAAAGTATCTGATACTGACTTGTCAGTGATGGCGGAGAAATTTTCCTGTCATTGTTATCAAGGATACGAAGGGGCTGATTGCCGAGAAATGAGGTCGGCTGATGGGGGCTCTGTGGTTTCCCCTTCTGGCCCCCTAATGACACTATGTCTGCTGGTTTTAGCAGGTTATTGGAGTACCACTTGTAAGATAAATGAAGGAATTGTATGGCCTCTAAAGAAGTCACTTAGGGAAGAGATGAAACTTAACAATTTCTCTTATCAATTCCATTGAGAGGTGTTAGAAGTTGGCATTATATATGTCACTTAACATGAACAGAAACATAGTACTTTATTAGCTTCCAATTTGGCTGAGAAACCAGATCTAGGAGTAAAATCAATGCACTTTTCTTCCTTACTGGAATGTTTAGTGTTTATTTACACTAAAGCTACTATGTTTTAGTCTTTATATGAATGTACATACAAGAAAGTGCCCATAGAAATATTAAATTATTGATTTCAAAAACTGTTTTCTCCAGCTAGCCATTTCTTTAAGGACAGATTAGAAAGTAATCATCTGATTTAACAGAAGGGGTCACCTCAAAGCATGACCTGGTCAACTGGTACACAAAAGAGGACCAAATGCCAAGTTTCTGTTCCAGCCTCAGGTTCACACTAGGTCTCTGCTTCTCACCTGGATTCATGAAGCACAGAACCATTCCTGATGTAGCTTCTCGGGAGGCAACATTGACTGAGGCAATGGAGCTGTTTCCAACTAATCCCAAAGGCATCTATTCTAATATGGCACCTCTCTCACCTGCAATGAGTCCTTTTCTCACATGCCCTGGCAGTCTGAATACGGTGAAAAGCTTTGGAATAATATTCCTGCTTGCCTAGGGTGACACTGCCGTCGATTCAGAAGCTGAAGCCTTGTTAATAAAAATGCCATTGGTGACTTTTGCAAGCCAAATTAATTATTAAAAAAAATTGATAAATGTCATTTAAGGGACTCAATGTGCATTTGAAAAGGAGACCTACAAGAAATATTAGATATTTTTGCCTCTTCCCCATATGAGTTTTGAGTAGTGTATTGACAGTCACTTTGAATCTAATGTGAGTTATAGTTTCACCAGCTATCTTGGTATATGACCGTGGGCAAGTTATTTATATTCCCTATTTTGTCAACTGAAATTTGGTAATATCATTCCTACCTCAGTGAATTATTCTGAGGAGCGAGTGGAATAACACATCTCTGACATGCATTTTTTAAATTGGTTATGAATATTCATGAGATACAAAGCTGATTGTCACCCCTCGTGCCCATGATGTGAGGGCCAGATTCATGCTGGCATCGTACCCATTAGCACAAATTGCATTTGTACCCTTTGCCCCCCACCCAATTATCCTCAACCTCCCTCTCCCTCCTCCTTTCTCCCCATTCCACTTTGCAGCCCAAAGAATGTTCTCTCCCTTTGCAAGTCCAAAACATCACTGTGGTCTTTCTTTCCTTCCTTCTTTCTCTCTTAGCTCCCACTTGTCAGTGAGTACATGTGGTATTTATCCATTTGTGCTTTGCTTATTTCACTCAACATAAGTTTCTCCAGGCTCATTCATTGCAAATCGAATATTTCATTCTTTTTTAAGGCAGAGTAGTATTCCATGGTGCATATATACCACATTTTCCTTATCCAGTCATCCATTGATAGACATATATGTTGGTTCCATATCTTGGCTATTGTAAACAGAGCTGCGATGAACATGGGAGTGTAGGTATCCCTTTGACATGATGATTTCCATAACTCTGACTACATACCCAGAAGTGGGATTGCTGTATCGTATGGAAGATCTATCTGTAGTTGTTTGAAAAAACTCCATACTGCTTTTCATAATAGTTGTACTAAGTTACAGTCCCACCAACAGTGCAGTAGTGTTCCCTTCTCTCCACACCCTCACCAGCATTTGTTATTCACTGTCTTTTTGATTATAACCAGTCTAACTGGGGTGAGATATTATCTCAGTATAGGTTTAATTTGTATTTCCCTGATGACTAGTGATGGTGAGCATTTTTCATGTACCTGTTGGCCATTTGTGTATCTTCCTTTGAAAAATGTCTATTCAGCTCCTTTGCCCATTTTGTAATTGGGTTATTTGGTTTTTTATTGTATAATTGCTTGAGTTCCTTGTATATTATGGATATGAATCCCTTGTTGTATGCATAGTTAGCAAAAATTTTCTCCCACTGTGTAGGCTGTCATTTCACTCTGTTGATTGTTTCCTTTGCTGTGCAGAAGCTTTTTAGTTTGAGATAGTCCCATTTGCTTATTTTTTCTTTTACTACTTGTGCTTTCGGGCTCATGTTCATAAAATCTGTGCCCAGACCTAGTTGCTGAAGTGTTTCACCTATATTTTCCCTTAGTAATGTTACAGTTTCAGGTCTTATACTTAAGTCTTTAATCCATTTTGAGTTGATTTTAGTGTATGGTTAGAGGTGCATATCTAGTTTCATTCTTCTGCATATGGATATCCAGTTTTCCCAGCACCACTTGTTGAAGAGGCAGTCTTTTCCCCAATGTAGATTTTTGTTGCCTTTGTCCAATATCAGATGGCTGTAAGCTCTGATTATGTGTTGCTGATCCTCAACCATCTCTTGATTTCCAAAGTAATGGAAAAGCTCAGGAAAAAGCAGGATTTTGGGCAATTTCCACTGCCTAGTGCTATGTATCTATTTATAATCACTTATGCATTGTGTTTTTCTCTTGAAAGGCATGTTCAATTGATAGGACTTCCTTGTCCTGGAGACAATCTCCTTGGGAGGTAAACTCCAGATAGGTATGATGCTGTTATAGAAGGAATGATAGTTCATTCAACCTCCTCCTCCGCCTCTTTTGTCATTCTGTGAAACATTTGCGATGTAGGTGTGCTCTTTTCAACTGCGGTCCCTGCTTGTCAGAGGTTATTGCATTGTTAAGGTCTAATTTCTAAATGTAAAATACAAACAAATCAAGACAAAGAAACTTTTACAATCCTCTGAAGGAGAGGTAGCATTGTATAGATTAACTTTTTAAAAATTAATTTTTATATCAAAGATGATATAATGACATTATAAAGAATTTGTAAAATAGAAAAACAAAGGAAATCAACAATAACTACTGTAACATATACAGGTAACACTGAGTGTACTTTTTTCTAACATTTCTTCTAAGGACTTTTTTATGGGGCTGTTATAATTATATGACTATAAACATATTTTTTTTCATTCTCTGTTTTTCACTTAGCTATATACTACAAGCAGTTTTCATGTTATTTTGTTATCTTCACAGATGTCATTTAAAAATTATTTTTAAGGAACACATCATATTCTATCAACTGGATGCAGCACAATTTAATTAACAATATTTCTTAAGTTTTAATCTTTAAATGTCAAGCTTTTACTATGTAGTCAACACATCAGAAGACTTTCCAGATCACTTTCCTAATCCATTCATTCACTCATTGATAAATTTGTTTATTAATAATTTATTCAGCATTATTTCTTATCAGCACTTTCTAGGCTTTGGAATATATCCTTGAACAGAGCAGACAAAGAGCCCTGCTTCCCTGGAACTTACATTTTAGCAGGGGGAGACAGATATTAAACAGATAGATAAGCAATTTATATCATATATTAGAAAGAGATATGATCTATGGGAAGGAAAATAGAGAACAGTGTGGGGAAGGGCGGTACTTTCCATGTTTTGGGCCTCATCCAGCAGATGCCCTTTGAATAAAAACTTGAAACAGGAGAGAGTTATCCATGAGGATACTTAGGGGGAAGGGTGTGGCAGGCAGATGAATTTGGTACTAGGCCTGGTGTATTCAAGAAAGAGCAAAGAGGCCACTGGGACTGTAATATTTCCCTTCACCATTAACGTCTCTTGTTTATTCTTTCATCTGTAGCATTTATCACCACCTGACATAGTATATATCATTTATTTGTTTATTTTCTGTCTTTCATCACTGGACTGTAAACTAAGAACATGTGACTTCATTTTGTTCACTGCTAGAACTCTACTTGCTTCAGTGCCTGGCACATAGTAGGTGTTCAACTAGTATTGTTAAATGAAGGAGTCAGTGAGTGATTCGAAAACCTCGATCAGTGGAACCTGTAAGTATGTTATAAAGTGTTTTGTTTTTTACTTTGCACATTAATAGTGAGTTATGTAAAGTCATTCTCAAACATTAACATTCTATTCTTATCCTAATACATTAGCCTGTGAAATCACTAGTCTAACTCCCCTGTGACGAGTTGAGGCCTGGAGAGAATAAAACACTTGGCAAACTCAAACAGCCAGTTTGTAAAAGAACCCAATCTGGAATCTCAGTTGACGAGTTTTCTTTCCATCAGAACTTTTTATTTCTCTTCTTGTAATTGAATCCAAATACATTCATTCTGCTTTTGACCATGAATTTAATGCATTTTTAATTTTTCTTAATTTGGACAGCTACTACTGGTTATGTCCAGTCACTCTCCAGATCTTCCAGCTGTGCATTCTCTATGGATTTAATTTGGCTCATTGTACTTGGACAGGAAATTCTGCTTCTAACCTGTTTAATGACCTCAGCTTCTTAGGATCATCCTGACTTCCCTTTATCAGAACAGCAGGATACTCAGCCTCTCTCATCTTTGGTGATGTCCTTTATAAAAAGGAGATAATAATGGTACTTTTTGTCCTTTTATACAGATTTAATGATATAAAGTATGTAACATACCCAGCTTAAAAACTGGCACATAAGAAACCCCTAGAAAATGTTAGCTATTATTTTCAAGTACTTTCAATATTGATCCTCATATAAGCTGTGATAGGTAATAATATCTCTATTTTTAAGTAGAAGGAATTATGTATGACTCAGAGTAGTGTTGCTTTGCCCCCCATGGGTTTGTCACACCACATCCCCTGGGTGAGGGAGCCACAAAGGATTACTCAAAGCCCATCTCTTCTGAGCAGTGAGAAGCCCCAAAGTGGTTAACTTCCCCAGAACCCTCAAGTGAGAGGCATCCCTTCCTTAGGAAATTAACCCCAAATCACTGTTCTCTTCCTGCATTTATATTCCAGACCAGGAAGAGAATATAGGTGGGGTTATAGTTTAACAATATAAGCTGGTAACTTTCAGTGAAACAAGCGAGATGACAATCCATTAGACAATTAAGTGATCCACCAACAAAAGC